TCCTGGCAGTATGGCAGAAGAAATTCTTTTGTTAGTGGCACTTCTCTGGCCTTATACTTAAGAGCTGAATCTAAGGAAAATGGTCACAGTTCAAATCTTAACTCTGACATTTACGGGTTTTATGAGCCCTGCAAGTGACAACCTCGAAAAGCCTGTTTTTCCACATATATGGGGCTACGTATCTACACGATAGGGTTGCTGTGAGTTACATGTGGGATGAGCTTGGTACAATGTCCTAGGCTTTGCTGTGGTAACAAATGAATGACCCCAGATTCTGTGTAGCTCCATACAACCGGCCCCTTTTGGGGACAGGACTACTATGCAGTGCTGCCTTGAGCCATAAAATTCCACAAATAAGGAGTATCTTTTCCCCGTGAAAAAAATAAATGTTTGCAGAGAAATCTAAAGTCTTATTTAGATAATAGAGGTCCCCTACTCAGAGGACATCGCCGTTGTCAATTAATTGTGCAGCCATCCTGACCTTTCCTACCAATTTATATACAAATATAGCAGCTATAGACAAACCAGAGTAGAATGCTGGCACACTCCTACGGGTCTTTGGATTATGCAAACGGGTCTTTGGATTATGACAGTAATGCTAATAAAATATTGATAATCTCATGGAAAGCCCAAAATTTGAAATAATACAATTTTTAAGAATTGTCAGGAATTGTACAAAATTGAAGCTGACATGCTTTGCCATCATTGCAGGGCAGTGGCCCTCTAGTTGATGTTCAGATGTTAATTCCAGGGCCCGCCCTGTGGCTTGTCGGTTAAGTGTGCGCGCTCAGCTACCGGCGGCCTGGGGTTCGGAGCCCAGGCGGGTACCAACGCACCGCTTCTCCGGCCATGCTGAGGCCGGGTCCCACATACAGCAACTAGAAGGATATGCAACTATGAGATACAACTATCTACTGGGGCTTTGGGGGGAAAAAAAAAAAGGAGGAGGATTGGCAATAGATGTTAGCTCAGAGCCCGTCTTCCCAGCAAAAAGAGGAGGATTAGCATGGATGTTAGGTCAGGGCTGATCTTCCTCACACACACAAAAAAAAAGATGTTAATTCCATTCTTCTTTAGACTCCTGTGAATGAACCATGTCCAGAATGTCCATACTGTTCTGTGTTGTTATATCTGTGGGTTTTTTCTTTGTTCATTTTTTAGAACACGTATTTTTATATTCTTTAGGGTACATGTGCAATTTTTTAAAAAAGGGACTCTATTTTATATATTGGCGTATAAACTGCATTTTGATTCCAAAATGTCCAAATTTGAACATTCTTACTTGTGAGTTAGTATACCTTACATTATCATTTTGAATGGCTACCACTGTCCACAGTTTATTTTACATATTCACTGGGTTAAACATTTAAATTGTCTAAATTTATATTGCTTCCCTTTTTTCTCTGTTACAACTAAACAGTGAACAAGATACGTGTACATACATCTTTGGATGATTATTTCATTAATATCCACTACTAGAAGTGGAATTGCTAGATTAAAGGGTATTATTATTGTTGATGCAGAGTAGCTTCCAGAAAGTTTGTATGAATTACCCTTATACTAGACATGAGGGAAATGAATATTTTTCTAAATCTATACTTACCCTGGATATGGCTATAATTTTATTCTTTTCAAATTTTACTTTCCAAAAATATCTTAAACATTGCATGTCTTTTATTTGTCATGAGGGACTTTCTCATATATATATTGTTCATTTACATCTTGTCCTTTCTTAATTCCCTTTTCATATCTTAAAGGACTGACAATAGTAATGCTGATCTTTCAATGATTTATAAAAGCTGTTAATAAATTAAGATTATAAAGCCTTTGTTTCTCATGTACATTATGAAGATCTTTTTCTAGTTTATTTTTAAACTTTGTTCAAATTTTTAATCTGAAACTGAAGTGTGTAACTTGCTAAAATAAAATCAGTCAGTTTTTAGCTTAATGGTCTTTCAATTGTTATGTTTTCCCACTCATGGATTTTATATTTTAAACTTCACTTATGCTTTAAAAATTTGCTTTTGAATTTTAATATCTTGAATCCAAGTAAACCTTATTTACTCTAATCTGTGAGCTAAGGATTTAACCTTGATTGTATTTGAGTATGGTCCCTGGTTGAGCTAACATAATGTATCAATACTTTATTTGCCCACCAATCCCAAAGGCGCCTTCATCATTTGGTAAAGTGTTAAATACCCTTTGTCCCAGGCCTGTTCTCTGGGTTCTCATGATCCTTTTTTGTTTTTTCTTTACAGTAAAAATGTTAGAAAGATGCCTACCTAATGGTTCAGTACAGTCATGTCTGGGAGAATGTGTAAGATACTTTTTTTTCTTTTCATTTGTGTGCATTTTAACTTACTTTCAATTTTCGTGTATTGCGTCTTAAAATTTTATTCCCCCTCCTTTATTTCTTTTTCATTCTCATTTTTAAAAGTTGCTTGGGCTAATTTGGTTAAATTTCTGTTTATATTCCCGAATCCCTCCCTCGCTTGGCGGCTTCGAAGAAGCCCCTCCTCTGGGCTGGAGACGCAGCGGAGCTGGGGTAGGGGTGATGTGAGGAGGGGCGGGGCTGAAGTGGGGTGGAGAGGTGAGGATGGTGGGGGGCTAGCAGTGATGTGGGGGAGGGGAGGGTGAAGTGGGGTATGGAGAGGCGGGGGTGATGGGGGGTTGGCGGGGTGGGGGGCGGAGCGGACCCCGCGCAGGCCCCTCCCTGCATGTGGGCGGAGCCTCCTGCGGGGGTCTGCGGCGCGCGCGGCCCGGACGGCGTCGGCCTGTGTGCGCAGGCGCGCGTCCTTCCTCGGCGGGGCGTCCTGGGGGTGTCGGGCGTCCCCGGGCGCGGTCACGCGTGGGGCTGGCGGTGGGCCCTGGAGGTGCGGGCCGTGGTCAGCGCGGGCGGCCCGAGGCTGCGGAGAGGGGCGCGGGGTATCTTGAAGAGAAGTGGCGCTCGCTGCAGAGTCTGCATCTCCGCGACCGCCGAGGCGGCCGGAAGGCGGCCACGAGGACGGAGCGGCAGACCGGTCGGGCCGCGGACGAGGGAGGTGAGCCCGAGGCCCGGTGTCGGCCCCGCCTGCTGGGCGCCGGGTCCAGAGCCGCCCTGCCTCTTCCGCGGACTTGGCGTGGCGCCCGTTCCTAGGGCCCCAAATACGTCCCTGAAGTGTGTGTGCTCCGGCCTCCCCGGCGCAGTTTGAATCCCGGGGGTCCTTCGTGTTTCCTTAGGTCTCGTGGAAGGTTCTGCACCACCAAGCCGCGTGGACCCGCCTGCCCACCTCGCCCGGCGCTGTCCAGTGGAGCTGCCTGCCGGGATGGAGGTGGCTCGCACCTGCGCTGTCCGACGGCTGAGGGCGCTTCAGTTGTGGCCGGCCCGCCTTTGTCCTCAGCCTCCGGCTCTGCGTTTGTGGAAGTGCGGCCCGAGGTTCCTGTGTGTTCTTAGGCAGATCTGGGCCCCTGGTGAAGGGTCCAGAGAAAGTGACTTTGCCCCCTAGGCTCCGCTGGGGGCAAAGCAACTCTACTTAGGCGAGAAGGAGGGACTTCAGGAACCAGAAATCACACTGGGAAGAATCCCCCCCGCCCCAGCCTCCTACCCGAGACCCATCAGAGCTTCAAAAGAGAGGCCGAAGAAACCCACAAAAGGAGCATTTCGCCCACAGGGGTCAAGGCTTGAGTGATTTCACCATATTTAGAAGCTGTGAGTCACTTTGCAGAAGAGAGAAGGGAGCTGGGACTGAGAGTGGTGGCGAGAGACGGACTGCGTGAGAAATGTCACCTCCTTGGCGGGATGCTGGGGAATTCCACCGCTGGGAAGCTTTTATCTTCAATCGCCACCCCCAAACGGCACCTTCCCTCCATTCCTTCTCCACTTATTCTTTCCAGAAGCTGGGCAGCTTTCTAACCGCGTCCGGTCACCATGTCCAGAATCTGGAGATGTGCTCTTCTGTCTTTCCTGATCTTACAGGGTCAAGAGTAGTAGTTCAGGGAAGGTCTGCCAGGATTATCTGTTTTTGTCTCATTGACAGAAGGGAAAAAAGACTCTGAAAGGGGAAATGACTTGCCTAGGATCAATAAGAGGTGAATGAGAAGTCCGAGTCGCCCACTCCTGGCTTGGTGCTGTCCACACAATCACACTGAAACAAGTTTCCTGTTAAAAGATCATTTTGAAAAACAGCAATTAGATTAGAAGAAACTTCTTTCTTTTCTTTTCTTTTGCTGAGGAAGATTCGCTGTGAGCCAACATCCACTGCTAATCTTCCTCTTTTTGCTTGAGGAAGATTGGCCTTGAGCTAACATCTTTGCCAATCTTCCTCTATTTTGTATGTGGGATCCGAACCTGAGAACCTGGGCTGCTGAAGTGGAGTGCATGGGAACTTTAACCACTAGGCCCTGGGCTGGCCCCAAGAAACAATTTTTTTAAAGACCTATATTTAAGAAATCTATCTCTTTTTCCAAAGCTTTGTGAGGATTCTTGGACTCAAGGGGTTACTATTATTGGTAGTAAAACAGATACACAAAATAGACTTTAGGGGTTTTTTCCCCTGTAACGTCAGTTTTAATGAAGGTATCATATTTTGAGATGCTATCATTTGCTTAAGAATTTTGTTTTAGGGCTGGCCCGGTGGTGCAAGGGGTTAAGTGTGTGCGCTCCGCTGCAGCGACGTGGGGTTTGCCGGCTTGGATCCCTGGTGCGCACAACGCTCCACTTGTCAGGTCATACTGAGACGGCGTCCCATATAAAGTAGAGGAAGATGGGCACGGATGTTAGCCCAGGGCCAGTCTTCCTCAGCAAAAAAAAGAGGAGGGTTGGCAGATGTTAGCTCAGGGCCAATCTTCCTCACAAAAAAAAAAAAGAATTTTGTTTAGTGTTTCTGTGTTAGTGAGAGGGGGCATAAATAGTTAAAGCAGTAGGGAACATTGCAGGTTAAAGGAGTCACAAACGGGCTGATGTTACCTTCCTCTCCTTCTCCACCTGGTGTGTAGAAGTTTTTAGGAGGACAATTGGGAAGCTGTAGGGCTAGCCAGCTCTCATTATTCCATTCCTCTTTCCTCCTCTTCCAGGCATGCCTTCCCAAGTTTTGATGCTCTTCCAAGAACAATAGAAAATGAACAAATCCCACATGAGTTGTTTCTTTTCTTTATTCCCTATTTCATTTTCCAGTGGATTTCATGGCTTTTATAAGTGTGTTCATATATTAAGATGGAAAAGTGGAAATAGATAAAAAGCTACTTCCGGAAGTAGTGAGTGAGTGGCACCTGACTAGCAGGCAGAGGTGGCTGTCATCTGTGTAGGTCATGTGATCCTACAGTCCTCGAAGGTGAGCAGCACATTTGTCTTTGATCTTCTTGATCTACACAGGATTTTCACTGACCACAGAGAGAAACCAGCCAGTTATTCCCGAGACAGAAAGACTTCCTGGCACTGGAGTCTGGAAAAAAATGTCTTTGAACGTCTTCAAGTAGTGAAGAACCTTGTAGTAACCCCCTGTTGCCTGTAATTGTTCTTTGTTGGAAGTGGAGGGCAGAACTCAGGTTTTATGAGGGACCAAAGCATTGTGGACTCCGTAGAGAGCTTTCTGAACATCCACTTTGATCTAGGGACAAAACCTGAGACTGTCTGGAGGAATGAAAGAAATGGACAACATGTCCTTAAAACAACCTCTTAAACTGCACAGGTTGGACAGCAGAGAGTTCAAACTCATAGTGTTTGGCAAATATTCCTGCACTATCCATTCATCTTTTTGTGTGTGTGTGGTAAAATATAACAAAATTTTCCATTGTAACTGTTTTTAAATGTACAGTTCAGTGGCATTAATTACATTTGCAATGTTGTACAGCCATCACCACTATTTCCAAAACTTTTTCGTCACCCCAGACGAAGTAGAATCATACAATCTTTGTCCTTTTGTGTCTGGTTTCTTTCACTTAATATACTGTTTTCAAGGTTCATGCATGTTGTAGCATGTCAGATCTTCATTCCGTGTAGTGGCTGAATAATATTTCATTGTATGTATGTACCACATTTTGTTTATCCATTCATCTGTTAGTGGCCACTTGGGGTTGTTTCCACCTTTTGGCAATTATGAATAGTGCTGCTATGAGCATTCGGGTACAAGTATCTGTTTATCCATTCACATTTTAATCAACTGTATGCAATCTCACTTCTTCCCCACCACCTGCCTAAGCCTAAGTATGTCCTGATAAAGCTCAGTGGTAACGTCCTTAGAGTCCAATGGATGTTTTCCAGATCTTACCTTACTAGAACATTCTGCCGCGTGTGGCAGTTAACCCACTTTCACCTTCTCCGAGAAAGACCTCTTTCTCTGGTGTTTTGTGACATCATTCTTCTGCCTTTATTCCTACTCTGATTTTTTTGTCTACCTCATAGCATCTTCCTCCTTTTCTGCCCATTCTCGTGTCAGCCTCAAATTTCTATTCTTAGCTCCCTCGTCCTGTTACTCTGTCAGTCCTACCTGAGTATTTCATGCCCTCCATGGTTTTAATACCAACTGTCTTTCTAGCCTGGGCTCTTCCTTCATGAATCGTACTTCTCTGTGCAGATGCTAGAGGCACCTCAATTTTCAAAATTAAAATTATCATTTACAGCCTCCCCCACCTCCCTTCTAATCTGGCCCCTCTATTTCCTGTTGGGTGATGGTCCACACCAATCAGTGAATGAAGCCACCAAAACGTGATTCATCCTAGATGTCCCCTCCCTCACATCCTATGTGGCATCTAGGTTTACTACTTTTAATATGTCAAATTTCTTAAACCTGTTCTTTCTACTTAATTCCTTCTCCCCTTATCAGAGCTTCATTTTCTCTCCCTTGAACTGTTGGAACAGCTTCTTGCTTCTTTCTCCTCTAGGCTGAAGCTGTCCTCCTGAGTAATTAATCTAAAATACTATTCAGATGATGCCACTTCAATATGGAAACCACTTGAGTAGCTTCAGCCACCCACAGGGGCACGGGTAAGCTCCTCATTATGAAATTAAGGCTGTTGAGAAAATGGTCACTTCCTATTTCTCTTTGTTTTATTAAAAAATGTTTTCTTCTAATACTCTTTACATTTTATTCAACAGTGGTTTATTGGGCATTTGTTCAGTGTGCCAGGTGCTGAACCGTGTGCCACAGACTCCGCTCAAAACAATGTGGAGACCTAGTCCCTTTTTGATGGAGTTCACAGTTTAGTGGAGAAGGTGACATTTAAAAAGTAAATATGCAATGTTATTCTTCAGTGATCCCAAACCTGACGTAGTTTCCTAAACACATCCTGTTACTGCCTGCCTGGCATGTTCTGGTTAGGTGGGCTGACTTTGGACCCCTGCTCTGTGTCCTTCTCTGAGTCTCTCCAGGTCATCTCTCAGGAGTTAACTTGGGGGATATCTCATCCAGGAAGCCCTTCTCCTCTTTCTTTGTCCCCTTCTGGATTAACTGCCCTTTTCCTCTATGCTCCCACAATACCCCATGCTGTCCCTGTCACTGCACTTTGTCCATTGTGTGGAAATTACCTGTTTGTGTCTGGGTTGACAGTCAGACCAATGGCCCTTCAAAGTCCAGATGTACACCGTGCTTGTGTTTATTCTTTCAGTCCCTCACTCTGCGCCTCACTCCTAGGAGGTGCTCATCACATATTTGTGGCTGACAAAACAAATGTTAGGCTTGATCTTATTTGGGAACCAAACTCTGTTCTTACTGGATAACCATCCTACCTGAACAAAGAACAGGGCCTGGGAGAATTGGGGCCTCATTTCCCTTCTCTGAATGCTGTCTTGGATCATGCAAGGTGGAATTTTGTTCTTGTTGTTGTTGCTTTTTTTGGAATTTATTTTTTCAGAGCAGTTTCAGGTTCACAGCAAGATTGAGTGGAAGGTACAGAGATTTCCCATATAGTCCCTGCCCACACACACCCACAGCCTTCCCCATTATCAGCATCCCTACCAGAGTGGTACATTTGTTACCATTGATGAACCTACATTGACACATCATAATCACCCAAAGTCCACAGTTTACGTTAGGGTTCACTCTTGGTGTTGTACATTCTGTGGGTGTGGACAAACATATAATGACATGTATCCACCATTACAGTATCATATATTTTCAATATGCTAAAAATCCTCTGTGCTCACCTGTTCATCCTTCTCATACCCTTCTCCCCTGGCAACCACCGATATTTTATTGTCTGCATAATTTTGCCTTTTCCAGAATGTGATATAGTTGGAATCATATAGTATATAGCCTTTTCAGATTGGCTTTTTTTCACTTAGTAATGTGCATTTAAGATTCCTCCATGTCCTTTCATGGTATGATAGCTCATTTCATTTTAGCACTGAATAATATTCCATTGTCTGGATGTACCACAATTTATCTATTCACCTACTGAAGGACATCTTGGTAGCTTCCAAGTTTTTGCAATTGGGGATAAAGCTATTATAACCTCCATGTACAGGTTTTTGTGTGGATATAAGTTTTTAACTCCATTGAGTAAATACCAAGGAACATGATTGCTGCATCACATGGTAAGAGTATGTTTAGTTTTGTAAGAAACCATCAAACTGTCTTTCAAAGTGACTGTATCATTTTGCATTCCCACCAGCAATGCATGAGAGTTTCTGTTGCTCCACATTTTTGCCAGCATTTGGTGTTGTCAGTGTTCTGGATTTTGGCATTCTAATAGGTGTGTAGTGGTATCTTGTTTTAATTTGCATTTCCCTGAGGACATATGGTGTGGAGCATCTTTTCATATGCTTATTTGCCATCTGTATATCTTCTCTGGTGAGGTGTCCCTTAAGGTCTTGTGTTGTTTGTTTTCTTATTGTTGAGTTTTAAGAGTGCTTTGTATATTTTGGATAACACTCTCTTATCAGATATGTCTATGGCAAATATTTTCTCCCAGTCTGTGGCTTGTCTTTTCATTCTCTTGACAGTGTCTTTCATAGAGCAGGAATTTTTAATTTTAATGAAGTCCAGCTTATCAGTTCTTTTTTTCATGAATCATGCCTTTGATGTTGTGTCTAAAAAGTCATTGCCAAACCCAAAGTCATCTAGATTTTCTCCTGTATTATATTCTAGGGGTTGTATAGTTTTGTGTTTTCCATTTAGGTCTGTGATCCATTTTGAGTTAATTAGGTTTGAGTTAAAGGTCTGTGTCTAGATTAATTTTTTTGCATGTAGATGTCTAGTTGTTCTGGCACCATTTTTTGAAAAGACTATCTTTGCTCCACTGTACTGCCTTTGCTCCTTTGTCAAAGATCAGATGACTATATTTATAAAAAGACCCATATTTATGTGGGTCTTTTTCTGGGTTCTCTTTTCTGCTCCATTGATCTATTTGTCTATTCTTTTGCCAATAACACAGTGTCTTGATTACTGTAGCTTTATAGTAAGTCTTGAAGTCAGGTAGTATCAGTTCTCCAACTTTGTTCTTCTCTTTCAATATTGTGTTGGCTATTCTGGGTCTTTTGCCTCTATTTATAAACTTTAGAACCAGTTTATTGATATCCACACAGTGACTTGCTGGGATTTTGATTGGGATTGTGTTGAATCTATAAATCAAGATGAGAAGAACTGACATCTTGACAATATTGAGACTTCAAACATGCACAAACATGGTATCTCTCTCCATTTATTTAGTTCTTCTTTGATTTCTTTCATCAGATATTTATAGTTTTCCTCATATATATCTTGTACATATTTTAGTAGATTTATACCTGTTTCATTTTTTTGGGTGTGAATGTAAATGGTATTGTGTTTTTAATTTCAAATTTCACTTGTTCATTGCTGGTATATAGGAAAATGATTGACTTTTGTATATTAACCTTGTATCCTGAAAACTTGCTATAATTGCGTAATAGTATCAGAATTCTTTTTGTTGACTCTTTCAGATTTTCTACATAGATAATCATGTCATCTGTGAACAAAGGCAGTTTTATTTCTTTCTTCCCAATCAGTGTACCTTTTATTTCCTTTTCTTGTCTTATTGCATTAGCTAGGACTTCCACTTAATTCCTTTTCTGGGGTTTTGTCCTGTTCCCTTACTTGGAATGTATTCCTTTGCCTCCTCATTTTGCCTCTTTCCCTGTGCTTGTGACTACGTATTAGGTAGGTCAGCTACGTCTCCTGCTC